TTTTTTTTTTTTAACACATTACATTTTAAAATTGTGTTTGTGTTCTCACGTGTGCATTGTGGATGCACACGTGTGGGACATGTGGGCGCGCCCCTTCTTTCTTCAACCATGTGGACAGTAGGCATAGGATGTTGAACACTTTAAAAAATATTTATTGAGCCGGGCGATGGTGGCGCACGCCTTTAATCCCAGCACTCGGGAGGCAGAGGCAGGTGGATCTCTGTGAGTTCGAGACCAGCCTGGTCTACAGAGCTAGTGCCAGGACAGGCTCCAAAGCCACAGAGAAACCCTGTCTCGAAAAACCAAAAAAAAAATATATTTATTGTGAGGCTGCAGAGATGGCTAAGCAGTTAAGAGCACTGACTACTCTTTCAGAGGACCTGGGTTCAGCAACTGACTAGGACTCCAGTTCTAGGGAATCCAGTGCCCTCTTCTGGCCTCTTTGGGCACTGCATGCACATGCTACACAGACATATATTCCGGCAAAATAGCCATTCACATTTCTGTTTTGTTGGCTCTTTCTTTCTTTCTTTCTTTCTTTCTTTCTTTCTTTCTTTCTTTCTTTCTCTTCCTTCCTTCCTTCCTTTCTTTTTTTAAATCTTTGCAAGCTATCTACTCAAGATGGGGGTTAATATCTAGGAAATATAAGGAACTGCAAAAATTAAACACACAACCCAACAGTCAATCCTGTTCCTGATATTTAGTGGCAAAGACCCACTATGTAATTCAAGCTGACCTCAAACTTGTCATGCATCCCATGACTCCCAAATACTGGAATTACAGGTGTGTGCCACCACACCTTGGGTATCAAAGACTCTAGTTAAAAACTTTTTAAAAACTAATAATAATTTAATTCCAGGGAAAGGTAGAAGCTTTTCTCTGATGTAGCTCTGTTTTTCCTCTTTGTAAATAATGAGCCAGTGACCTAACTAGTGGTATAATCACTGTCTTTGTCCCCCTTGGGTGCCAGGGACAGTTGGGCAATCACTTGGTCAAATCCACACATATTTTAATGGTTCTGACCCTATCTGCAGGCTGAACTTTCATCCTCTAAGAAAAACGCTAACCTGTGTTTCTGGTCACACTTCATAGGTGACAAAGTCTCTTCATATCAGCTGAGTCACCGTACTTAGAACAGTCTGTGAGTCCCTGAGGAGGAGGAACCAGAGGAGGACACAAGAGACCTGGTGCCAAAGGGCTCTGTCCCCTCTTCAGCTGGGGCACAAAGTCAGAAGGCCACAAGCGACTGACAGTGTGACGGAGCTGAGCCCAGAATGCCCTGTTCCCCACAGCTTTGAGCTCCTTTCCTCCCTCCCGGGACTGGGAATCACTTCCTGTTTTCCTGTCTCTAGGACTTGCCAGAACAGTCATACCTGCAGCCCCCACTCAGCATCGTGGTGATTGAGCGCCGGGCCTTTGGCCGGACTGTCCTTGTGGGTTCCCATATTGTCTCCAACATGCTGCAGTTCACACTCCAGGGTCGTGAGGATCCCCCTGAGGAGGAGGAACCAGAGGAGGACACAAGAGACCTGGTGCCAAAGGGCCCTCAAGGTTAGGAGTCTTTCTCCGTAGGAGCCACAGATAGAAGCCCCTCTGGGTCCAGTAGCGATGGCTCCAGTGGAACACCCAGTGGGGCTTGGAGTCTGATGTCTACTGGTCTAAACTAGTGGGCTCTGTTCCCTGCTCCCAGGAGAGCAGTCTCGAGACCCCTTCGGGGCTGAAGCAGGACTATCCAGCCGGATTCTGAAGGTGATGGGATTCCCCAGGCAGGAGAGGGGTGTCAGGGTCTGTGGTGGTGCTGGCTGGGAGCAGCAAGGGCCTCTCTACCTCAGGCTCCTCTGAAGAAGCTCACCTTAGGGCTCCTGGGTCAAGGCCCCGAGCTGGAGGAGGACATCCCAGATCCAGAAGAGATGGACTGGTGGTCCAAGTACTACGCCTTGCTGCAGGAGCTCCACGGGCAGGTGGGTGGAGCAGGGCCTCGCAGGAATGGAGGGGCAAAGGAAGGGGGAGTCTCATCCAGCAGACCCCTGTCTGCTCCAGAGCTCTTGGTTGCAGCCATCTCTTCTCCCCTTTCTCATTATTTCAGTAGTTGGACATTAGTACTTCTGCCTCCCAGCACTCTGTTGTCTAACAAAATAGAACGTGAACCAAGCATGGTGCATATCCTTAATCCCTGTATTCCATCCCTGTGAGTTCCAGGCCAGGCAGGGACACAAAGTGAGACCTGTCTCAAAAACAAACAAGTAAAAAAATGAGTGCAGAATTCTAGCTCTTCAGCACACACCAGCGAGCACCTGGGAGGTGGTAACAGAAGGGTCAGGAATTCAAAGCCAGCTTATACCAACATGAGACTCTGTCTCAACTTTTTAAAAAAAATTTTATTAATAGCCACATTAAAAAATAAAAGGGAAAATAAGAATAATTTTAATAATGTTTTATTAACATATATGAAATATGGTTCCAACCAGTAATTATCATAAAAATTAATAAGCTATTTTATATTCTCCCAGGAAGTCTGGTATGTGTTTCAACTCCCGGCACCTTGCCATGTAGACTGACCTCGTTTCAAGGGCTCAGTGACCCTAAGTGGGTGGCGGTGACTGACTACAACAGCACAGGACTGGACAGTAAAGGCCACTTTAACAAAGAAGTGGCTGCATAGCTGGAGGGAGGGTGGGCCAAGGAGGGGAGGGGATCTCTGATCTGCCTTTTGATTTCAGTCCAACTTCGATGAGGATGAGATGGAGGACGCTGGGGACCCAGGTGAGAGATGCGACTTTTTGCTCTCGCTCTATCCCCATACTCACATTCATATTCTCTCTCTCCCCCCTCCCCCCGCCCCCGAGATGTTTTCTCTGTGTAGCTTTGGAGCCTGTCCTGGAACTCGCTCTGTAGACCAGGCTGGCCTCGAACTCACAGAGACCGACCTGCCTCCGCCTCTGAGTGCTGGGATTGAAGGCGTGCGCCACCACCGCCTGGCTGTCCCCACAGTTCTTACCTCACTGCTGTTTTCAGACAGCACCCACCTCATTTCTGCGGACAGGGAGGCCCAGGAGCAGGGGAGAACTGATACCAAAGTTTCTGGACCTCGGAAAAAAGCAATTGCCACCTTGAAGGTGATGGGGTGTTGGGGAAAAGGGTGCCCCTTGGACTTGGGGTACAGAGGTGTCACTGAGACCCCTCACCTTTCAGATCTAAAACAACTCCTTGGAGGAGGAGTTTAACCACTTCGAAGACTGGCTGAATGTGTTCCCCCTGTACAAAGGGCAAGGCGGCCAGGCTGGAGATGGAGAGGAAGGATCTGGACACTTTGTGGGCAAGTTCAAGGTATACTTCGGGGAAGAAAGGGAGGCTGAAAAGGGACTGGAAAAGCTTACAGGCTGGAGAGGTGGCTCCTCAGTTAACACTGGCTGCTCTTGCTGAGGACCAGGGTTCCATTCCCCAGCACCACAGGGTGCTTCCCTAACTCCAGTTCTGGGGAATCTGACACCCTCTTCTGACCTCGGGGACCAAGCTCACAGACGTACATGCAGGCAAAGCACTCACACATAAATCTAATGGAATTGTCTCCTCCACCTCAGGGCTCCTTCCTCATTTACCCTGAGTCAGAGGCAGCCTCAGATCTCCAGGGGGATCCCCCAGAACCGGCCCATCAAGCTTCTGGTTAGAGTGTATGTCGTGAAGGTGAGTGTCCTCAGTTCCTGGCTCATCCCCATGGCAACAGAGGTAGGACGCTCCTTCAGGGTACCTCTTCTCCTCACAAAGCTTGTCTGTGGCAAGACTTATGCACATCTTTGGTCTAGGGACGGCGCGGCTGAAAGGTGCAGTGTGGGATCCCCAATCCCAGAATGCCTTTTGGTCAAATGTCCTGTAATTCTTTCCGTTGTATGGCTGTCATACAGACAGCAGGGCCCTGGAAGTTTCTTAAAGGAGTCTTGGGAAGAAATGGGGAACAAGCAGGTTTCTGTCCCTCTGTCCCTCTCTCCCTGTCACTGGAGCAGATGCTATGACCTGACTTAGGGATTGTAAGGCATCACTGGAAGAGACACTCTGCATCACCATCTGACCCTCCTAGGGTAATGCTAGGTAGTGAACTCATCCTGACTGTGTCGTCTAGCACTATGGTAGAGGGTGCTCCGAGATAGATGCCTTTGTACGTCTAGACATGTTAGACATCTTTTTAATGAACACAAAGCTTTGACGAAAGGGGAATTTCCCTTTTCGTTGAGCAAGGAGGCTGTAGTTTCAAGACAACCACTGGCCCCAGCTCAATACTGTTTGTCCACACCTGAACCTTGACCTTGGGTTCTTAGAGTCTGAGCAAAAGAAGGGCTGGAAATCAGACCCTGCATGAAGCGGGACCTCCTTGAAAGCTGCTGAAGAGGCAGCTCGCCCGCGGGAAAGAGAAGCCATTTTAGGAAACAGGGTCTTTAGTGTGACTCCCCCCACACTGATTTAAGACTGAGATTTATATTATCTGTTTAATTCAGAAAACTCAATTCTGGGGGCTGGAACTCACAGAGATCCGCCTGCCTCTGCCTCCCGAGTGCTGGGTAAATATTTATTATGTATACAATATTCTGTCTGTGTGTATGCCTTCAGACCAGAAGACGGCACCAGACCCCATTACAGATGGTTGTGAGCCACCATGTGGTTGCTGGGAATTGAACTCAGGACCTTTGGAAGAGCAGGCAATGCTCTTAACCACTGAGCCATCTCTCCAGCCCGAGTAGTGTATTCTTTATGTAGGCGAGAAACATTGACCTTCACTTTATAATAAAAGTCCTGGAGACTCAGTGTAGCAAAGGCAAGACAGATTTATTTTCCAGTTTGCCCAACCTGGACAAAAGGCAAAAATGGCTGGCATGCCAATTTGGCAAAAGTAGTGAGTTTTATATCCCTTATCACGTTTCTCTGCCCTCCATCCCCAGCCTCCAGTTCTCACTGACCACACTCTTTAGGGCAGTACAGTCTTCCCAATGTCTGGTATGGTCCCCTCCCTAAACAGCATCCTATTGGTGCATTCTATGGGTTGAGTCGCAGAGTAGGTTTTTCTAACTTTACAGTCCCTGGCTGAACTGTTAACGTTGGATAGGCACCAACAGCTGACTGGGGAAGACGGGCCCTAGTGCCACCTGCTTCTCTGATTCCCCAGTGAGTTCTAAACACACCTCATACTGCGGATGGCTCTCGCACTGTAACAGAAAGAGGCCAGGGCAGTGATGTGGCTCAGTCAACAGAGTGCTTGACCAGTGTGGAGGAAGCCCTGGTTTGACCTCCAGCACCTTGCAAAATCCTGTGATCAGGTCCGACAAGGGCTTCAGTTTCAAGGATGGTGTCTCTCCTGACTCCACTGATTTCAATTCTACCCCCTAGGCTACCAACCTGACTCCCGCGGACCCCAAAGGCAAGGCAGACCCCTATGTGGTGGTGAGCGCTGGCAAGGAACAGCGGGACACTAAGGAACGCTACATCCCCAAGCAACTCCACCCCATCTTTGGAGAGTGAGGCTGGACCCTGGACTTGAGAGTGGGGGGTCTGGAGCTCCACAGGCTCTTGCCCAGGCTGCTGACTTGTGATGGTGGGGAACTGGACACCGCTACCCCAGGTCCCCCTGGAGGGCGTAGAGCTGTCCTTAGCCACTTTTCTTTTCTGTCCAGGGTGCTGGAGTTGAATGTCTCCCTTCCAGCAGAGCCAGAGCTGACTGTGGCCATATTCGATCATGACCTCATGGGCTCTGATGACCTCATTGGGGAGACCCACATTGACCTGGAAAAATAGATTCTATAGCCACCACAGAGCCAACTGTGGGCTGGCCTCCCAGTATAATGTGTGAGTCTGGCAGGGCCCATTCCTGAAGCGAACACATTCAAGTTCACAGTTCCCTTTAGAATGTGTTTAATCTTATATTTTGAATGTTTGAGTACATTCACGTGTAGTATTTGGGGACACGTGTTCCACAACATGCATGTGAGGGTCTGAGGACAGACTTGGGCGTTACTCTTCTCTGTCCATCTTTTTTTTTTTAATTTTTATTTATTTATTATGTATACAATATTCTGTGTGTATGCTTGCACGCCAGAAGAGGGCACCAGTCCTCATTACAGATGGTTGTGAGCCACCATGTGGTTGCTGGGAATTGAACTCAGGACCTTTGGAAGAGCAAGCAATGCTCTTAACCACTGAGCCATTTCTCCAGCCCTTCTCCATCCATCTTGAGGGAGAGTCTCATCACTGTTGTGAGCCAGGCTACCTGGTTCATGAGCTAGCAGCATCTCCTGTCTCCACCTTCATTTCCCATGGGAGCACTGGGATTACGAATACTTGCCCTACGTGTCAACTTTTATGTGGGCTGTGGGGATTTGAACTCAGGTCTTCATGTTTATGCAACAAACCCTTTACAAGCTGAACAATAGCATCTCCCCAGCTGTCACGGCCCCATTCTTGTATCCAAGCTACAGTTCTTACAGAAGGGAAACATCTCTTACCCTTTGCAAGTCATCTCAGCTCAGTAGCCAAGACTTGAGTTTGGGTACTGGGGTTTTGGTACTAAGTCATGTGACCTCTTTGAGCCCCACAGTGCCCACTGTGCCCACACACTGCTCTAGTTCATGTATTGTCCTCTTCTGCCTGCAGGGATGGGTACAATGCCTGGCACGATGCCTTCCGGCCTTCACAGATTCTGGCGGGGTTGTGCCAGCGCTGTGGCCTCCCTGCCCCAGAATACCGAGCTGGGGCTGTCAAGGTGGACAACAGAGTTTTCCTGACACCGTCCGAGGCCCTGCCTTCAGGTACCAGACTCTCTCTGCTGGGCAGGCCACAGAGAGTACCAGGGAGACAGACCAAGACACAGGATACAGCAGGTGCCAGGCTAGTATGCCCAGGAGAGCCCACTGATGGCAGCAGGCACAGGGATGTTTGTGAATTTGGCTGAGTAAGGGCACAGTTCCTCGATGCAGGGAGAAAATGATCTTAGGTAGTAAACCTCTCAGCGCACAGGATACAGAGATCTATACAGTCTGTGGCTATGGAATTGAGCTCAGACTTCAAGCGGCTGGTGGTCTGGTCTCTAAACGGTCTGAGCCATCGTGACGCTGGCTCTTCACCGGTAGTAGCTTTAGCAGCAGCACCTCCCCCAGCTCTTGCTTTTTGTGAGTGGTGGACTTGCTCTTCCAGGCCACAGGGTAATTTTGGGGGTGTAGGGATGGGGGTTGGGAGAACATAGCTGTTAAGGAGGTCTCTACATAGCTCTGTTCCTGAAACTCATTATGTAGACCAGGCTTGCCTCAAACTCCTGGAGATACTCCTGCCTCTGCTGGGATTAAAGGTGTGAGCCGCCATGCCCGGCAGAGGCCACAGGCTTTATCGAGTGTAGCGTTAGTCTCCGCTACATCCCCCTGTTTCAGACGGCAGAGATCCCAAGGTGAGAAATGAGGCTTCTGAAGAGGCTCAAGCATTGCTCGTGCTGCGGCTGCGGCGTTGGCAGGAGATGCCAGGACTCGGGATCCAGCTGGTACCTGAACATGTGGAAACACGGCCCCTGTACCATCCCCGCAGCCCAGGGCTGCTGCAGGTGAAGGACCCCGACTCCCCGAGACCCTTTTCCCAAGCCACACTCTACGCTGCCGCTAATCCTGGCTCCTGGTGTCAGTGAGAACCTGTCATGGGCTGTACACCCTATTATCTCCAATTCTGGTCCCACAGGGTCCCCAGCCCTGAGCCAATGAGGGTCAGGCCTTAAGACCACATCCTACTCTTGACCTCAGTTTTCTCACCTTGAACTCAAACCTAGTCTTGGCTGTGGGACCCTCATTTCAGACTCTGCCTTCATCCAAATACCCCCGAATCTGCCCAGTCTGCCCAGTAACTCCTGCCCCTGGCTCTTCTCCCCCTGGGGACAGGGCAGCCACCAGATTCAAGGCTGTAGGGGAAGGGGTTCTTCTAACAAGACCCTGCAGCCTGCTTTTGTGCTCTTAGGGATCCCTTCATATGTGGATTGACATCTTCCCCAGTGACGTGCCTGCCCCACCCCCAGTGGACATCAAGCCTCTGCAGCCAATCAGGTGAGAGAATTTTGACCCTTCTACTCTCTGAAAATCTGAGCCCCAACTGAGCCAAGACTTCTGACTTAGGCTCACGGGCAGGTGTGAGTTCTGGGCGTCTGTATCTTTCAGTACACACTGTTCCTGCCCCAGCTAGCCCAAGCTAGCCCGAGTGCAGTTCTGTGAGGGTGTCGTCACTCAGACACTGGTCCAGATGCCTGGCGACTGTCAGCCCTGTCCTTTTCCACCTCGGGCTGTGTCCCTCTCAGGGAGGATCCTTTTTTTTCTTTTCTTTTCACGTGCATGGCTCTTTTGCCTGCATGCTTGTATGTCTGTGTATTGAATTCAAGCTTAGGGCCTGCACAGGTCAGTAGATGGCGCCAGATCCCTTTAAACTGGAGCCACAGATAGTTATAAGCCACACTGGATCCAGGGAACGGAACCTGAGTCCTGGGGAAGAGTAACAAGTGCTCTTTTCACTGAGTCATCTCCAGCCATTCAGAGAAGCCTTTTGCAGTCTAGAACAAAGTAGCCTCTGAGAGTTTCAGGTTCATCTCTTACCAGCCAGGCCTTCTGAGCAGAAATAAAACCCAATCCTATTAGACAAAAGCTGAGAGCCACCTCCTATTGTCTGCTGGGGGTTAGATGCTCCTCTCTGAAGCTGTCACCATGGGCAAGGCTGGAACACCACAGATAGGCCAGTTCTGGGTGGTTCTCCCAAATCTAGAGTCGGGTAGATGCCTATCTCACCAGAACCGTATAGACTGACAGCGTGGCTGGGCAGAATCAGAGGGAAAACTGGTATGGTAGTGTATGCCTGTCTGTATTCCTTGTGCTCAGAAGGCAGAGGCAGCAGGGTCAGGAGTTCAAAGGGCAGCCTCTGTTTCACAGAGAGGTCAAGGCTAGCCTGGGCCACATGAGACCCTATCTAAACTAAACCCAGGGAGAATCAATAAATGAAGGGAAGAAGAGATGACCAGGCAGCCCCATGACGGCCATGGGGAAGAACCAGGATGTTCCAGCACTTTTCTGCTGGTTCTTGTGCCTTCCATCTCTGGTTGTCTTTTCTACTCAGACTTTTCAGTACCCAGAACTTTGGATGGCGTGTCATGTGACTTGCCATGGCTCTACCCCTGCAGCTGGTGGATGCTGAATCACTCAAGGTTACAGGCTCCTGACTCCAAGAGTTTAGGAAGCAGAACCTCATGGTACTGGCTTGAGTCAGAACTCCCCTGGTGCTGCCATTGCTGTAGTGGGGCATGGTCAGTGACATCTGACCCAGTTCCCTTCTGTTCGCACAGCGCCCCCTCTGCTTCTTGTCTTTTGTGACAAGGCCTCATGCAGCCCCTGCAGGTCCTTAACTAGGTGTGCAGCGGTGGATGGCCTTTGAACTCTCTCGATCCTCCTGCCTCTCCCCCTCCATAGCTGGGATTACAGGCATGTACCAATTGCCATGAATGTGTGCTAGAGACTGAACCCAGGACTTCATGCATGCTAGGCAAGCACTCTCCAACTGAACAATGATCAAAGATTTTCTGGCTGTTATGGTTTGAGGACAAGGTTTCATGTAGCCTCAGAGATGAACTTGAGGATTACAGTCCTGTGTGCCACCACCTCAGTCCAAGAGTCCCTGGGGAACCAAACCAGGGGCTGTAGTGCGTTAGGCCGGACACTCCCAGGACCCTTCTCAACAGTCAGAAACCACTGTGTCCCCAGTTATGAGCTCAGAGTTGTCATCTGGAACACGGAAGATGTGGTTCTGGGTGACGTGAACCCGCTCACAGGAGAGATGTCGAGCGACATCTATGTGAAAAGGTAGGCTGTCCAAATGGTTGTCCTAAGGGAACTGTAAATGGGGACCCTGTGTCCAGGCCCTCTGTGTGCCAGGAGCTGAGTTCTGGGTGCAGCTCCAGCCCCAATGCCCATCTTGCCCTGGGCTGTGTCCTTTCTCACGCAGCTGGATAAAGAGGCTGGAGCATGACAAACAGGAGACAGACGTCCACTTCAACTCCCTGACTGGAGAGGGCAACTTCAATTGGCGCTTCGTGTTTCGCTTTGACTACCTGCCTACGGAGCGGGAGGTGAGCGTCCGGCGCAAGCCCGGACCCTTCGCCCTGGAGGAGGCTGAGTTCCGGCAGCCAGCTGTGCTGGTGATGCAGGTTTGGGACTACGACCGCATCTCCGCCAACGACTTCCTTGGTACTTAGCTTCCCTAGCCTCAAGCCTACATTTGTCCTCGTTTTCCTTGCCTCCACTGTTTCTTCTGTCCCTTGATTCCTACTCCGACTCGACTTTGAGTCCTGTGATTTTAGACCCCAGGCTTGAACCATTGCTTTCTACCTGACCATGGTGTTCAGGGAGCATGATGTAGTAACCTCCTTTCTGCTCAAGTCTTTCCCCCGGATCCTTCTGGAGTCGCTCTGCATTCCCGTTGTGGCCTCTGATGCTTTGGCAGTATGGTCCCTTGGTTGGGACCTGACAGGCTGGTGCTGACTGGTTAGGAAGTCTATAGCTGTGGCCTGACCACGGTATTTTCCCTTTTGGTACTTGGCAACACTTGGGAGCTGCCTCTTTGACCCCTCACCCTAACCTCGGGAATTGTGCTCTCACAGGAGCCCTGGAGTTGCAGCTACCAGACATGGTGAGGGGGGCCCGGGACCCTGAGCACTGTTCTGTTCGACTAGCCCTTGGTGGGGCTGGGCCGAGGTGCAATCTGTTTCACTGTCGTCGATTGCGGGGCTGGTGGCCGGTGGTGAAGATGAAGGAAGTGGAAGATGTGGAGCGAGAGGCCCGAGAAGCTCAGGGTCGTAAGAAACGGAAGAGGAGGAGGAAGGGACGGCCAGAGGACCTGGAGTTCAGACACCGGTGGCAACGGCTACATCCTCACGGTGGGTAGTGTAGTGGCTAAGGCCTGGCTCAGGGCTGGACTGTGTCCACTGACAGCCTCACCATCTCCTTCTAGGGGAAGGTTGAGGCGGAATTTGAACTGCTGACTGTGGAGGAGGCAGAGAACCGGCCAGTTGGGAAGGGAAGAAAAGAGCCCGAGCCGCTGGAGAAGCCCAAGTAAGTAGCGCGAGCTTAGGGAGGTGGGGTCGCTGGCAGGGGTTTCCTGGTCATGTGACTCTACCCTTCCCCAACAGCCGCCCCAAAACCTCCTTCAACTGGTTCGTGAACCCCCTGAAGACTTTTGTCTTCTTCATCTGGCGCCGGCACTGGCGCATCCTGGTGCTGCTGCTGCTGCTGGCGCTCATCACTGTCTTTCTCCTCCTCGTCTTCTACACCATCCCTGGACAGATCAGTGAGGTCATCTTCCAACACTAGTCCGAGGGACCAGGGACACCCTGCTCAGGAAGTCCTTTCTTCCAACATGAGCTCTAGGGTCCAGTACTTGAGTTTAATAAACCTCACTGCAGACCCAGGGGCTGCGGACCTGGTCTTTGTAGGTGGTAAAGGTCAAACGCTCTCAGGGATTTGCTAGAATGCAGAGGGATGGAAGATGGCCCACATGCGACCCGGGGAAGAACAAGCCCTAATGGCTGAGTGGGCTGTGTCATCTGGATCAGCCCCTCAACAGCCTGCTTTGTAGTCCTGCCGGAGCCTGGGTTCCTCAGTGTTCATGGTGCTGCCTTTCACGACATCTAAGCGTTATGTTCCGTTAACTTTTTGCCAACCCCGAGAGCAAGGATGCCTACTAAAGCTATATATATATAAAAGAAAGAAATCTCAACCCAAATTGGCTTAAGCAAAAAAGGGAAATTATTGGTTTGGTTGGCTGGCTTCAGGTAGCTTGTTACAGGTCTTAAATGTATCACTGGCTGTTACTGCCTCCTAGCTTAGCCATGCTGCCCCCAGAGGGCAGTTTATGATAGGCAGGGCCCCCTGGAACTGGAGATCACTGTGCAGCTCCCTTGCCTCCCTCCTCCGGAGGGGCCTGGCTTACCATGGGAGCTGGTGGCTGGCGTACTCAGATGGTGATCTTCCTAAGAGCATGGGGTAGACCAATATTGCTCCTGAACCACAGAGGCTGAGAGGATAGGTGGGTTACCAGAAGGACCCCAAGTTAACAAGGGAAATAGTCCCAGGTCAACACCCCCGACTGCTTGGTGATAAACAACTCTGGACAATCAAATCACCTGGCCCTCATGCACCCCCAAGGCTCTGCTGTCATTGCTGTACTTGGCTTCCTGCCACAGCTTTAGGGGAACATGATCTGATGAACTGCCTGCTGCCCACTGTCTTGGCTCCCTGGGCTGTGGAGCACTGGGGCCTCTGGATCACGATTCTCAACACAGAGATAAGGGCTCTAATAAGAAGCCCTGGTTAGGTCTTGAGCTAAGGGTTGTGCTGGTTTTGCTCCAGAACGGCAGTCCCAGCTTCCTCCGCCTTGCTTCAGTGTTGTTCCCGTAAGGACTTTGTAAAGGTCCACGCTAATCTCTCAGTGCGAGGAGACACTACGGAGCTCGGCGGAGAGCAGAAACATCGGTGGAGCAGAACCGCATGGCCCTCTGCTTTAGCTGTCCATCACTGCACAAGGGACACTCTAGCCTGGACTCGGAGTTCTGGGATAATGGCACTGGTGTCTTCTACTTCACAAGCCATAGTTGCTCCAAGATATTTACCCTAGAAAGGGACTAAGGACATGGCTGTGAAGCCATATTAAACGGGATGCACATGTGGGACTCCCAAAGGGCTCGCCCCAGCCTGTCAGTCATGATGGACTGTTGTAGGTTTCAGCCAGATCCCAAGAACCACACTGAGACCAACATTACTATCACAACATTTATCACCCAGGGCTGACTCTGGAGAGGAGACATGGGGCAGGAAAGAGGCTTTGGAATAATCACAGGGGACAGAGGAAAGGAACGACGGGGAAGGATGGGGACTACGTTGTCTTCCCTAGATCGATTTTCTTCTGGATGGCTCGAGTAGAGTGGTAGATGAGTGAGTCGATGAGTCCAGCCACTGGGGGAGAGACCACGGCTAGCACTGGACCCCGCAACGTGGACGCCTGCACTGTCATCTACCGGGCTAGGCTAGCATTTTCCTTGGCCCTGAAGGTACCCTCTTCCCCAACCAAAGCCTGGGACATTGCTGAGGATGTCACTCAGCAGGGGAACACCTGACCAAATCCACAGCACTGGGAAGCTTGGGGCCCCCACTGCCCAAACAGGCACCTTGGGACTTACCTGTAAACATGCCCCCAATGATGGCGCACACACCTGTTAGGAAGTGGGTGAAGGACCTGAAGGAACACAGGAGGGCGTGGTCGGCACCCTACTCTCAGGCCCAGAGCCGTGGCTGCTCCCACTCCCTGCCCTCACCTGTGCTTTTCTGTCAGCTTCACCATCATGGGGGAGAGTTCATAGAGCACGAAGACCCCTGGCAGGCCCTGGTCCCCCAGCAGCCCATTAGCAACCTTCTCATGCCTCGTCACAGAGAACTGGTTTGTCCTCAGCACCTGTGGTAGGAACGGAAGCAGAGGCAGAGTGAAGTTACAAGCTGACTCAGGGCTGTGCTGAGCCTCAGAAGAAGCTTCACACTGGTAACCAGCATCGCGAGGCCTGCGGGCCACCCAGGCCCCTCTGGCTATCCTGGTTTTCCTTCCGGTCACCATCTTAACGGTTTTTATCTGTCCTCCCTCCAACTGATGGATGCTTTCAGGTGGTCCAGGGATGAGAAGAAATTCTTGTAGGCAGTACCCTAAGGCTGAGACTCACTTCCCCTCAGCCCTGCCATGCCACTCCACAGACACGCTGCTCCACAGACCACAGACCGAGCAGGCCCAGGGAGGCTTGGCCAAGCCCCATGCCAGCACAGACAATGGGGGTCAGTAGGCACCCAAGGACTGTCTGCAGGCAGTGTGAGAAGCAGGAAGACCAAATAGTGTCTGTCCTGTGTCTCAGCGAGGGCATCACTAGCCCTGGGGCCTCGGCTTTGTGTCCGTCACATGGGAGTGAGAGCACTACCTCACTCCCAGCTGGAGGAACCACAAAGGTGGACAGCTCTACTCGCGACTCACCTCCCCATCCACTTTCATGTACACCGTGGGTACCACCTTCACAAAGTACTGGAACATCATGGAGGCTGTGAGGAGAAGAAAGCACAGGGCATAGGTGCCAGGCAGGGCTTTTGTGACAGAGGGGGCTACCTCCCAGGACGGTACCTTGGGGTGCAGTGACATTGGTGTGGTCCAGGGGGTTCACAATGCCTGGGTAGTCCTCCCCGAATGACAGGTGCTTGATGTAGTGGGTCATGTTGATCTGTAAGCAACATCAGTGTCTGAGGCTGACAGCACGCAGCCCACGCACAACTGTCTAGACTAGCAGAGAGGGCTGCCTGAGCCCGTCAGCACAGCTGGGCAGAGGGGAGGGTGAAGGGAGGGGCTGCGTGGGAGAGGCCATGGCTGTAATGGAAGAAATGCCTACACCAGGCATCTGTTTTTACTGAGGGCTCCCTCCTCAGCCCACACGTTCCTGGGGCTAGAGGGCTTAAGGTAGAGCTTCACAGCCAGCGAGTGCACGGCAGGTACTGGTCCTGCCCAGGTGCCTCAAGGGATGGAGGCCTAAGCCAGAAGCCCCCATTTGCCAGCTTTCCTGAGGGACAGTTAGAAATGAAAATCTGGCTGTGTCACACCCCTGGTTAAGGAGAGCCAACAGCTGCCCTCTCAGCTGAAAGGGCAGACTCCTTAGTGTGGCTCCAGTGCCAGGGTCTCTGGCCCTGCCAACTGTGTCAGCCTTGGCCATCTATCTCCACCCTGGTGGTTTCCTAGAAATGTCACACTTCATCCTGGCTTTGCTCCGAGCTTCCTTCTGTTGAGGATGCATCTATACAACTGTCTCTGCCCTCGGTCTGCACACCAGCAGAACAGTGATTTCTCCCCATTTCAGACATGAGCAGGGCTCAGTCTCCACGCCATCCGCCCTCCATGGTTTCCGCCCGGTACGTACATTGTCAAGGCCGAAGCTCTGCAAGTCATGAACTAGGAAAGAAGAAGAAAGAGTCACCAGCAGGCAGGTCCAGGTTCCTGGCTACTCTTGGGTCTTGTCTAAGGCCGTCCTCCTCCCTGTGGGGTATGACGCACCTATCTCCTCTCCAACCCCGTCACCCACAGCCTGGTACCTCTGGTCCTGCTTCAGCACAGCTGGCCAGGGCCTGCCTGGATCTGGGTGAGAGTTCAGAGCCTCCCACTGGGGTGGACAGGAACACAGATCTCTCTCCCGGAACAGACAGGGAGCTCCAGGCACTGACTCCCAAGCTGGGCTTTTATTTCAGGAAACAAAACCCATGGACAGGGCTCTCCCTAACAAGAGTTAATGACAAATCCCGGGACTCCCTTGCTTCTACTCTCAAAATTCCCCAAAGGGAGTCTCATGGGTTCCCTGAACCAGCAATTTCTTCCTTCCTTCTAGTCCCAACTGCCCTCTGTAAGGAACCCCACATCAAAGACTCATCCTAGGGGTGAGTCACCCAGCAGCCAGGTCAGAGAAGGCTCCATCCCAGACCCATCCAAATCTCCCTCCCATTCCAAGAGGGCAGGCTGCCTTGGAAGTGGGGGGAGGGCCTCCCTGGGGGCAGGGCCACTTACTCTCCACAGCATGAACTGCAGCATGGGGGAGGGGAGGAGAGAGGAGGAAGAGAACAGAGATTCAGAGCTTCACAGTGAGATCTATGGAGCGAGACCCATGGGAAGAGGGAGGACAGATAGTCCTGCTTCGGCACAAGGGTCTAGCCCCAGCTAAAACGTCTTTTCCAGGGCCAAAAAGGCATAAAAAAGGGCTTAAGTACTAAAATAGCTAGCCTGAGAGCCTCCCAGCTGTGTGACCTGGACAAAGCACCTGGCCCGTGTTCTCTGCAAAGGGCTGTCCTGAGGACCTAAAGGAGGTGGCTACTGGTCAGCCTCATGAGATGGTATACACCCCCATCAGTCACCCTTCAGTCAGCAAGGATCTTAGAACTGAGGACTCATGCAGATGCCCGGCCACAGGCCACTGCAGCTTGTGTATGAGCATCCTTGTACTCAGAGTCAGCTGCCCTGGGGCTCATGGCCCGAATACAGATCTAGGCAGAGATGCAGAGGTGCTGCTGCCCACCAGCCCCACCTCCCGAGTGTGCACAAGGCCTGGAGCCCACAGCTTTACACAGTGACACATGTCTTCCTAGAGTCTCAGGAAATCCACTCTACATGGAGGGCAAATTCCAGAGTAAAGGTGGGGCGGGGATTGCAGAGCCTGCAGGGTCCTCCAGGTCACCTACCTCTCTCCATGTGCCTTTCCCCCACTGCAGGCACAGACTACACAAGAAACTGTAGGACCCCACGCCTGCTCAGTCATGTGGAACAGCTCAGGACCACCAGGTCCTGCTCGTCCTCTGGACCCCTCGTACCCAGTAGCTGTCCCCTAATGTGACCCT